GGCAGTTAACGAATAAACATGATGGCAATGTCGGATAAGAGTTGGTTGTTGGTCCAAACACAACCCATCCCAACTCAGTATTCGCGGCAAACGGCCCACACTTGTTTAGCTGCATTGTGGTTGACGGCAAACCAAGGTGGCAGTGGTCGAGTCCGATTAACAGCTTTGGCTTGACTTGCGCGTATGGCTGAACTGCCAGCTTATTTAAATGTTTTTCATGGCAACGCAAATCGGCTTTACTCAGGCTCTGAGAAGGTAGCTGCAGGTTTGAAACACCATAAACCCTTCGTAGTTTATGTCTCTTTTGCATATTGGCACCACTCACTAGTAAGTCTACCACCACGGCTGGCTCTTGGGTGGCACGTCCTCCGAACCACTGTAGGTTTAAGCGTTCAGTCCGGCCACGTAACCCGAGCTCTTCAATTAGTGCGTTGTCAAGCATTGTTATTGACGAACCTTCATCAAAAAGGGCGTACGTCTCAACGCGCTTCTGGTTCCCATACAGCACGACCGGCAGAATCCGAAATAACAACTTGCTATCGGCAACGTTTGCACTGCAACTAAGGACTGCTACACCCGTATCGCCTTGCGACTGAATACGCGACGCTGGCTGCGTCTGCGTGCTAATCGTTTTACGTGGATCGGCAATGGAAACACGTCTGTTGCGATCTCGAGGCGGCAATGACTGGTTTGATGACCCGTCGATAGTTTTTTCAATTTCGTGCAACAATTTATGATGAAACCGTTTGCACCCGTCGGTGGCACATGGTTTGCGCCTTTGGCAATTGCGCGACCCATGTCCAGCGTTGAGACATGAGAAACAGAGATGGCGTCGCTTCACTTCTTCCCACCTCTTCGGCACTGTAAGTTGGCTGAACTGGCTACAGTCGGCTGGCTTATGTTGGCCCTGACAAATAGGGCAAGTTGGATGGCGTTGTGATTCGGCAGCGTGCAGCACAACCCGGCGCTTCGAGTCTCTCGCTGTTTCCCCGTCGTAAACCGTGCAGATGACATTGGCAAGTTTAGTAAGCCAATCGCTGAAATGCTGAACCGTTGCATAAGGCTGCAAAGACGATGCAAAAACTGCCCATTCGATACGCTTGCTCATGGGTAACTTTCCAACGAGCTCATCAAGAAGCGTTGGATTCGCTAAATGCTGCTCTCCGCCACACGCAGAACGTAAAAATGCACAAATGTTGGCAATCTTCGTCGCAAATGGTATCAACTTTACCACTGAGCTTTCCGATATCGGAGCAATTTCTCGAACATGGGCTAGCTGGCTTCGAATTAATTGTTCCGGGCGACCGTATCGGAACCTAAGTTGCTCGATGATATTGCCCACATTGTTCGGGTGGATAAGCAGCGATTTAATAGCCTCTCGGGCCTCACCCCTTAAGCTCTTCTGCAGGCGTAAGTTGTTTTCAAAACAGCTGTACCCATAGACAGCGGTTGACTCGGTGTAAGCAGTAAAAAATATCGGCCAGTCCTCCGGCTTCCCACTAAACTCCGGCAAATCTTGCAATTTTCTTGGCTGAGTTGAAAACTGCGCAGATACGGAGCCTACGTTAGCAGGAATTGGCACCGTTGACGAAAGACTGTTAAGAAACGCGTCGTGCGGAGGTAAAGTCGAGCTGGGGTACATACCATTTGCTGTTGTTACAGCTGAACCATTTGTTGAAGATGTGTAAATGGGCGGCGAGACACGAGTGGCGGTATACATCGGGCAACGTGTAGCGTTATGAGGTGGCAACAGCGGCTGCACAGCATCTACATTGGTAGCAGCACTCGTTACGATCGGCGATTGCGGATGAAGAAGCTGGAACTGTGTCATTGGCAGGCTCGATGACGGCAAGGCAGATTCGTTGGCGGAACTGTCGCTGGGTGCACTGGATATGCTTTGCGCATCTGCGCGTTGGGCTTCGTTTGCTAACTCGTGTTCTCTTATTTTCTGTTGGGCAACCTTCAGACTGCGTTCAAGCGTGGCGATGCGTTTCTGCATAGCCTTAAACATCGCTTCCTGGCGGGCGGCAGATGAGGCACGAGTACTAACTCCCTCGGCTTCGGGAGTGTTTGGCAAATCAATGATGTCGGCAGCAGTGCCGGAATCCGATACTAACTTCGACGGGTCGGCCACTGAGGCAGATGTAGTGGCTTTAGAAACTGATGAACGCATAGTCATATCATGGACGTCGGCACGAAGACTTACGCATGCAATGCGGCTAATTGCAAGATTAAACAAAGCGGCAGGTTCTTTATGAACGGCAAATAAAAATATGAAATGTATGCGAGTTGCAAATAAACTCCTTAATTCAGTGTATAAAATACGGCTAAATTATTCGCCTGGCTGGCAAATGCGAAATTCGACTTTTCAGTCCCACATACAAATAATTCCAATAAGAATAGTTACAGTTCTTGTTCGTTTGCGGCGGCAAGTGCAAAAATGTACGTATGTGTATAGGCGATGACTGAGGAACGTCGAGAACTTTCCATAAACGGCAATCAGTCAGTGAAATAAATTATGTATTTCACTGCGAAATAAAGAAATTGTCGTCAACCCGCTTGCGAATTTAACGCAAGTAACGTTGTCACAAAAGGCGCATACACAATAATAGTCCAATGACGTACTACTTGGTTTATTTCTGTTCGATGTAAAGACTTGTTACAAAGATATAATTGAAAATACTTTAGGAGTTACTTACCGCAGTGTGTCCTTCACTCGATCCCTTTGGTTGACGACTGACTTTGAGGTTGACTTGCGCCAGCAGATCAACCAAATTATGGCAGCGGTAATCGAGTGAACGACACATTGCGGTATGTATGTACACAAAAAACCTAACATTAATTTGTACATACATATTTACAAGGCACAACTCCGCGACAAACAACTCCAATGCTTTGCCTACATGCATGTACATATGCATACGAACAGAAAAACAAAACGAAAAAGGCAATACTGCATCGACCGTACCTATTCCGCGGACATGTACATATGTACATACGTGCATGCAAAGAGTTAGCGGCAAATTAAATACATGGGATACATAGGGCACTAGTAACACATATGTGTACATATGTATCTCTAAATAATGAGAGTAACATATGTATGTATGAAAGGTATTTGAAAATAAATGAGAACATCGAAATGGAATACATTAAAAATAAAATACAAAAATGAAGTACATGAAATTGAAATGCATGAAATTGAAATTATGTCAAAGGCAGGAGTTCCCAACACAAACAAAAGTAAAATGAGTGGAAATCAAAATGTTAATGATGTACTAGACTGTGTAAGTGCTTGTGTGAAAAGCAAAGATTTTAAAACTGATTTATAAATAGTAAAATGTTTACAGCAGAATATCAAAAGGGTGCAACAACTATTCACTTGCAAGTTTTTACTAGTTTTGCGTTCAGTAACTTTTTCTGCTAGTTTTCTCTTCTTGTCAATTTTACGCTCTATTTTGCTTTTACGCTCTGGCTGCAATGTTTTACTGGAGAAGTTACTATACAAACCTTATATCTAAGTGAGAACCTATGTCCCAATTTAAAAAAGTGACTTTTTATCATTTGTTTGCAAAAACACTGACTTATTTGCATAACATCAAAAATTTTCTGATTTATTTCCATTTATGATTTTATGTAAGCTTTTACAATTTTGTTAACTTTCGGCAAACAAAGTAGAATCGGAAATGGATAAATTAAGATGTAATGAGTTCAATTTATTTTACTTAACTTGCCGTTTTCAAGAAAAACGTTTTTTTCTGGGCTATCATGCTATCACAAAAGGCAAGGTGTTTGAAGTTTGGCTGATTGGATGTTCGAAAAAAGAAAAGCATTTTTCAGGTTGTCAACCATGTTGAAAATTAATTTAGTGCTGCTGATATTTGCGAAAGTTCCATGAAACTCTTAGAAGAAAAAACGCATATTTTTTGCAATTATTTATCAAATAAATATGAAAATTATGGGAAACAATTTGGAAAGGATGCTAAAATATTTAGATCTGAAAACGTAGCGTTTCTTGCTGATAAGGTTCTTTTCTAAATCAAATAGCCAACTGTGTCGACCATCAGCCGGATTCTAACTTTCGCTATCGCTAAAGTGCTAAAATAGGATAGCCAACCTTTTTCCGAATTTTTAGCTATCTCCAAAAATATCTCCAACATTTTTTGGTGATATATAATCCATTTTGATGGTATAAATAGTGAAAATGGAAGTATGTGATAGCAAAAAAAATTACAGCCTCAATTTGCATTACTTTTCATCTGCTGTAGCGTAGCCGAGGCTATTTTACAAACACACTAGCGCCTTCACAAAAAGGCAAATCCTTGAGAGAACTCACGGACTGAAATTTCGATTTTTTTTACTCAAAGTGAAAAGAGCTTTGAACATTATTTTAACAAATTAGTTTCATAAACATTCCTATTCTTTTCAGGAAGTTTCCAGCGATTTTTGGTAAATGTCTCGCAAAGCAGCATTTGTATTCTGAATATAAATAATATCGGTGGAGAATTTGGAAATACTGAAACCTCAAGTGAAAATGAAGTGTTTTATGAAGACTAACTGCTTTAGGAATCTCTCCTCAAGACATATCTGCGTGACATGTAGTAAATATTTTTCTTTTTTTAATTTAGGAATTTCGATTATGCCATAACTAATCGCTAGAAGCAACATACATGTACATGTGACCATACTTATTTTATTATGTAGCTCATTTTAAAGGGGAGGGGGTTGAGTATGGTAAGAAAATAACTTGTGTCAAAACCAAGCTAATTGGACAATGTTTTTGAGTACTACCTAAACATATATAGTCACCATTTGAACATACAAAAAAGCAGTAAAGTCTGTTTTACGAAAGCCAAGTCTGTTTAACATTTTATTTACTGCCTTTACACTTGTTTTAACGTTTGCCATCTTTTTACATTAAAATAATGCAATATTTTAGCTGCTATTAATTTCGCACAGAAAAAGTAATAATTTGACCTAATGTGCATTTCTACGAAAAGTTGTTTTTTCCCCATATAAAATATATGGAAAACTTTGGGCGCTTTGAGCGACCTCTAAATATTTTTTGATCTCAAAATAAAAAATAAGGGTATATTTTTTCGGTATAGAACAATCCTGGGGGTGAGAGCATACAAATTCCGACTTTTTTTTCACATGCATTTTTGGACCGCCCTAATGTACATACATATATGCGAATATAGTTAAACAAATTTTAAAATAAGGTCTTTATCTGTAAACAAGACGTGGCAAAGCCTACTACGTGCAGCCCAGGACTGAGTACAACGGACTGGAACGAACGTGTGTGCCTAGTGCTCAACCGCCTCCCGAGCAAATACTTGACGGTGGTACCGGGGGGTTCGGTACTTGGACGGGAGGAGGTTTAGTTCGGGTTAAAGTCCACACTGACGGGTATAGTGAATTAAATGCTTGTTGTTGCGAAAACTTTCTTTTCGTACTGCGTATTCACAATAGAATTCAGCGGTTTGTAAATATTTCTAACGGCCCTTATTTTAATTTTTTAGTGCTTTTAGTTTTTCACTTTTTGTAATTTTTTAATCTATAAAGTGGAATGTAATTTTTTGTTATATATTGGCATTTTATGCAAAATGTCTATATCTTAAAATTTTGTGACTAAACAGGATGAATTGTGCCAAAGGTGCCACTTAGAATGAAAGTGCCAAAAATGGCACTATTGTGCCTACTTTTCGACCACCGGCCTGGTCTAAGCCAACTGTGGCCAAATGGTCAGATGTCTCATTACCAGGTACTCCCGAGTGACCTGGCACCCAGAGTAAAGCAAGCTCCTTATGTTTATCAACATAATTTAATAGAGACTTGCATTTCCGAAACAGTCTGAAAGTATTTAGTTAGAGGGCTGGCCAATACCTTAAGTGCAGCTTGGCTGTCCCTGCAGACACGTAAACTCCTTGCCCTCCTCCACCTATTTTCCACCACGTAGTCCATGGCTGTGAGGATTGCATATACCTCAGCCTGCAAGACCGAAGCATATTTACCAAGAGAAAAGTGAAGCTTATTACCATTAACATCGAAAAAGGCCCAGATCAGGGTTGCCACTGACGAAGAAAAATATTTACCAAACACTTGGAAGCAACTACCAAATCCGGAAAATATCTACCAATAGCTTTTTTTTAGTTATTTTAATAAAAACTTTAGTTTAGCTTTATTTTTTAAGTTATTTCAATAAACATTTAAATTTTTTATTAAGGAACTTTTTATTTAACTAATAATATGGTATTTGGGATCATATTAATGGCATATTCTCGGTTTTCTTAAACTAAAAGCGAAAATGATGAAACTAAAGGCAACAAAGAAACTTCATCATTAAAAAAAACTTCAACTGGGATATTATAAGCTAATACTGTGACTCAAAAGAGCGCTTGGTATTTGTTTTAATATTCACAATGTTTTTAAGTAAACATTTTTTTTCTACTTTTTTTTGTATAAGAATGATGTTTGCGCTTTAACCAAACCCATAAAAATCAGGGACTCATGCCATAACAACACTGAGAAAAATTCAAAAACATTTCGTCTAAATTCCGAACTTTTTACTCTGAATTTTTAGAACCATTTTCCGTATCCAGTTCTCTAGCCCATAGAATTTACAACAACCAACCAACAATGTGCAGCTAAAAATTCCCGTTGATTCAAAAAATATATTAGCCGCCGGTCTTTTGTGTTTTTTTTGTTTAATAATTGCCATTTATAAAAACTGGCGGTAATTTTTTTTTGTACAATCATAGCGTGTAAATACAAACCTGGCCATTTTTTCTTTTTTTTTTATGCATCTGAATGCAACACTGTTCCTAAGAACTGAATAACGCATCTAATGCAACACTGTTTCTTAAGATCCTTCGCAAGTTGACGTTTGCAAACTATAGACCACTTCGCTTATATTACGATTTCCGCTATCACGTGTTCTTACTTAAAATTACTGAATATTGTTAACAAATTAGATTAATAAATACTTGAAGTTACAACAAATAACTGGCGACGAGGTAAAGTCAGTGAGTTCACGGAATCGTAATAAACTACCCGAGGCGTTCGATTGAAGCGTAAAAAGGCAAAAAGGTAAAAAGCTGCATTACCATGGAAGAAACTATCGGGAGACTGCTAAAGCAACAGCAGGACTTTTTAGTGGACGTATTGAGTACAAATAGAGCATGGATGATTGCACAATTGGAAGAGCAAAAAACAAATCTTGCTAAAATGCAAGAAAATCCTCGTGAGCCGACCATAACCTCAACAAATATATCCGTGCCAGCCTTTCCACCGTATGTGCATACAAAGCAAAGTTTTGACTCGTACATCGCACAATTAACCCAGCATTTCGAAGCGTATTCAGTCACGAAGCAGGAACAGAAACGAGCATTTTTCCTCTCGTGGGTAGGAGCCGACTGTTTTGAGCTGCTATCCAAACTTTTCGGCACAGAAGACATACAAACGCAGACATACGAAAGCATTAAAGAAAAGTTGTCAACGCACTACAAGGAAAATGTTCACATACTGGCCTCAAGATACGAATTTCTGTCATCGAAAATGAAACCAGAACAAAAGTATTCAGAATGGGTTGCTGAACTGCGGGGCATAGCGCGGAATTGCAGGTTCGTGTGTAGTAACAATACTTGCAAAACGTCATTTATAGATGACCTGCTTCGAGACATTTTAGTTTTGAATTCGCCACATGAACCGGTACGCACTGCAGCACTACAAAAGCCTAATCCGGCACTCGCAGATGTTATAGCTATAGCCGAAAGCTATGAAACAACACAGGCCATGAAAAAGCGGATGTCATCTAGCACAGCAGAACGCAGCGAAGTATTTCAGCTGAAACAGCACCAAGCTGAAAAAAAGCTTAAGCCAAGCGCAAGCAAGAGTAACTGTTTTCAATCCTGCTCTGGGTGCGGGAAGCACCACTCCAGAAGCCAATGCAAATTTCGTAATGCACAATGCCGAAAGTGCAATCGTTTCGGCCATATCGCACCAGTTTGTAAAGCACAAAGTGCAATTACCGACAATAAAAATAATAAAAAGGAGAAGCAACCGCAGACTAACAACAATAACGCTCAGCGAAGTGTGTCAACGATCAACTTTGTTGCTTCAATTACGAGCACCGTGCCAAACAAAGTAGGAAACAAATATCTGATTGAAATAGGGGTGAATGAAGTACCAGTCAAGTTTCAGATGGATACCGGCGCCACTTGCTCCGTGATTGGCTTAGATGTATATAATGAAATTGGAAAGCCAAGTCTTACGCCCTATCCAACTGGTAAGCTAATCGCGTATGGGGGAAGTGCTGTAAGCATTTTGGGAACTATTGATGTCACTATTCATCATGGGCAAATTAAACGGCTAGTGAAACTTGTTGTAGCTAATGTTCAGCAAAATAGTGAAATCCTTGGAACGGATTTGCTAGAAGAATTGGGATTATGCGCCTGCCAAGCACATCACGTAAACGCCGTTACGACGGATCCTAACGAAAATATCGAAGGGCTTTTGAAAAAATTTGCAGATGTGTTTGAAGGCACGTTGGGTTATTGCACAATTTCAAAAGCTGAGTTACGGTTAAAACATGATGCGACACCTAAGTATTTCAAATCTCGCCCTATACCTTTCGCGCAATTGAAGGACTTCAAATTAGAGGCACAGCGTCTAACGGACTGCGGGATATGGAAACCAATTACGTTCAGCAAATGGGCAGCACCCATCGTAGTGGTTCAAAAAAAAGACGGGCGTTTGCGGATATGCGGTGACTTTAAAGCTGTGAACGCACAGCTCGAGGTAGATCACTACCCAATACCCCGCATTGAAGAACTGTGCCGCAAGCTAAGAGGAGGCACAATCTTCGCCAAAATTGACCTTTCAGACGCATACTTGCAAGTGGGTCTGACCGAAGAAGCGAAGCAGCTAATGGTTGTTAATACCCCATTGGGCTTGTTCCAGTATCAACGCCTGCCGATGGGAGTGGCCAGCGCTCCGGCCCTTTTTCAGAAGCTATTGGAACAAGTCATTGAAGGTATTCCGATGTGTATTAATTATCTTGACGATATATTAGTAGCTGGTAAGTCAATACAAGAGTTATTGGAAAATTTGCAATCAGTATTCGAGCGACTGCAAGCATCTGGGTTAAAATGCCGCAAATCCAAGTGCACTTTTATGCAGCGTCGAGTTGAATATGTCGGATTTGTGTTGGATGCAGCGGGTTGCACGCCATCTCCAGCTAAGGTTTCAGCTATAAGTGAAATGCCGCGGCCTAAAAATTTGAAGGAACTTCAAGCATTCCTGGGTAAAATTAATTATTACAATAAATTTATATCGAATTTTGCAGATAAGGCTGCTCCGCTTAACCAGCTACGTAGGCAAGGCGAAAAATTTCGGTGGGGAGAGAAGCAAGAAAAAGCGTTTCTAGCTCTTAAGCACCAATTGAGTACAGCACCTTTGCTAATTCATTTCGATGACCAGTTACCCCTTATTTTGGCAACAGACGCATCTTCGCATGGAATAGGAGCTGTTATATCGCACAGAATGCCGGATGGGTCCGAAAAGCCCATCGCGTTCGCATCTAAGACGCTTGACCACCACCAAATACGTTACAGTCAGATAGAAAAGGAAGCGCTTTCTATTGTATTTGGTGTCAAGAAGTTTCACCAATTTCTGTTTGGTCGCCAGTTTACATTGCTCACAGACCACAAACCGCTGGTGTCGATATTCAGCCCTGATAAGCAACTACCGTCTGTGATGATACAACGCCTTCAGCGCTGGGCATTACTGCTCATGTCCTATCGGTATACTATACGATATAGGCCAACGGATAAGCATTGTAACGCAGACGCTCTATCTCGGCTTCCAGTAGGGCCGGATGCCGAGTTCGACCAAAGTGAAGCATGCATGCAGGTCGAATCTGACCTAACTGCTTCACCACTTAATGTGCAACATCTGGCAAACCTAACTGCAAAGGATCGCACTCTTAAACAAGTGTGGCGATTCATCGAAAAGGGGTGGCCTGAGAAGCTTCCATCGCAACACCGCGAGCTACAGCCGTATTTTGTTCACCGGCACGCGCTTAGTTTGGAAATGGGGGTCATTATATTGAGAACAGAGTACACGCGTGTGGTCCTACCGTTGACGGCACAAGCAACCGTCCTTGAATTGCTGCATGAAGGACACTGGGGTATGACGCGTATGAAGCAAATGGCGCGTCAACACTGCTGGTGGCCCTCTATGGATACACACATAGAAAAGAAAGTTTCACAATGCGAAATATGCCAACAGCAAAGTACATCTTCACCAGCTCGAGCATATACAAATTGGCCTGTAGCTGAACGTCCATGGCAGCGCATACACTTGGACTTTGCAGGGCCGTTTCATAACGCTACTTGGCTTATATGCATCGACGCATTTTCGAAATATCCATTTGTAACAAAGATGGCCAGTATAACGGCTAAAGCAACGATCGATGCCTTAAAAGTAATATTTTCTGTCGAAGGTCTGCCTGATACCATAGTCACGGATAACGGACGGCAATTCTCAGCGGCCGAGTTCCAGGTTTTTTGTAACAGCAATGGGATTACGCATCTCACCACTGCGCCTTTTCATCCGGCATCGAACGGCGAAGCTGAACGCTTTGTGCGCACCTTTAAGCAAGCCTTTAATAAAAGCAGTCGCGGACGGTAAAAATCATTTAGATTCTCTACTAACCATTCTTATCACTTACAGAACTTGTCCCATTGGCAGTAGCAATAAGTCGCCGGCGGAATTGCTACATGGCCGCCAGCCAAAAACACGGCTTAATATGCTTGTACCCACTCCCACTCAAGGGTTCGACAAACGTTTACGCCAGGAACGTGGATTCCTGGTGTAATTCAAAGCAAAGTTGGCAGTATGATGTATCGCGTGAGTACGGGCCAAGGCTTACTCCGTCGCCACCGTAACCAGTTGAAGGCTCGCCTATGAGGACTAAAGGGAGGGTTCTTGACTAGGTGCGGAGGGACTGATGCATCTGAATGCAACACTGTTCCTAAGAACTGAATAACGCATCTAATGCAACACTGTTTCTTAAGATCCTTCGCAAGTTGACGTTTGCAAACTACAGACCACTTCGCTTATATTACGATTTCCGCTATCACGTGTTCTTACTTAAAATTACTGAATATTGTTAACAAATTAGATTAATAAATACTTGAAGTTACAACATTTTTAAAGAAACATTTAAAATGTTTAGACAATCAAAAGCTCCTCAAGATTCCAATAAAATGAAATTTGAATGGAGCACGATATTGTTCGCCTTTTATCGATATACATTCTTACATATGTACACTGAGGAGGAAAAAATATTAAAATCAATGAGAAACGTGGTTGATCTTACTATAAACGTCAACGTAAGTACTGTATATTGGCAAATATTCAATTCGATTACGCGCGTATTAAAATGACCACGTTCGTTCTGAAAAAGCATCCGTGAAGTGAATAATCAATATAAAACCAAAAAAGATATATATGTTCAATATCAATATCAATATCTGGATATCAACAAATTGTGGCAAGCATCTTTGCGCCCTCAGCTACAGCCTCACATATAAATGTGCTTTCAAATGTTGAATTTCCATCAACACCACAGCACGCGATTTGTACGGATAAACATGATGTGTGTGTTAGGCTGTGTCATTTTTGAGCAACTTTTTTATACCCGAGCGCACTTGTGCACAAGGGTATTATAACTTTGTTCACATAACGGTTCTTTGTAACAGGCAAAACGAATCGAGATAGATATAGACAAATGTATACATAAATGATCAGAATGAAAAGAGAAATCGATTAAGCGGTGACTGTCTGTCCGTCCGTCCGTCCGTCCGTCCGTGCACACGATAACTCAAGTAAAAATTGAGATATCTTAACGAAACTTGGTACGTGAACTTCTTTTGGGCGTGGGACGGATGGTATTGAAAATGGGCGAAATCGGATAATAACCACGCCTACCTCCCATATAACGGTAATTTTAAGAAATACGAAAACTGCGATATTTTAGTAACTACTGAAGAT